AGAGCTAAGGCTGTTCAAGTTCACTTAACCTCAGCCTAACCCTTTCCCAGCTAATCCTCTCCCAGCACTGCTTACTGAGATGGAAATGCATCAAGAGAAGAAAAGAGAAAGTGGTAATTTGGAAAAAAAAAAAAAAAAAAAAAGGTTTTTAGATCAGATACAAGTAATTTAATGCTTCACAATAAGAGAGGAATTGAAAACAGACTTTTTTTATTCACTTTCCATTTCTCTGTAACATAAATCGTTTCACAGACGTGTTTCCTGTTCTTTTTGTGTGCACTGCACTGAGTTCTCAAAGGCTCTACAACAAAAGAGAAAAGAAGCATTATCTCTGAAGTTTCAGAGGGCTAACAGCTTCATTTACAAAAATGCTCAGAAATGTACCTCTCCTAACACCCCACACAGAAAGGAAACTCAGCAGTTACTCCTGCAGAAAAACACAGCCATACCTTGAGATAAAAACTGGAACATTTCAAGTGCATCAGTCTTGAGATGCTCCATCCATTCCATGACTGAGGGCACCATAGTAGTGACACAGAAGCTCAAGCCTCTCTTCATATTGTCTGGGCAGAAGTTTCTCAACACCAAGACTGTTGTCTGTATATTTCAAGTAACTTCTTGGCAAGGCACACGTTTTAAAGGACTACTACAATTAACCTCTCAAAGATGAATATGATCACATTGAGATTAGGTAGTCCCTTGCCCATTTTCATTCTGTACTTGTAGAAGGCAGAAGTTTTAACAAAAGGGACAGAAAATGATATTTGTAGTATTGTTCAGATGCTGACCTTTGAAAAAGTAAAATTAAAACAAAACAAAACAAAAAAACACTTCAAAGGCTAAAGAAGCGTTGACATGGGAAATCTGCTACTGTTGAAGTTTTTAATAGAGTGGAATACAAGATTTTTCCAAGAAGAGAAAAACATTTCTAGAAATAGTGCAAAAACTGCACTGCCAATCTTCAAAATCTTTATTTCGTATTATTTGTTTCACTTTTTTTTTCCTACAGAGACACACACACAAGGACAGCAAAAACAAATAGAAATGAATGGGCCTTCCAACAATGAAATCATCTTTGTAAACATCTTTGTTTATTATTACAGAAGCAAACCCTTTGTGCTTTTCCTAGTACATATCAACCTCGTGATACTGAAATGATGACACATACAAGACAGAACCTTCCAATTTGGAAGAATTTCTGGCTTAACAGATGTCATTCAAGAGAAAAGAAAACCAAACCAAATAAAAATGTAAGTGGTTTGGCTAAGCTATATTGATTTCCCTATTTTGGCTTAAAAGTTTTATGAAATGCTACTGATATAAATTTTCTTCTTGGCTGTCAGTACATTGTCATCATAATTTTTCATCTCATTTTGCTTTCAAATATTTGACCTGAGCCCATACAACACAATCTTAATTTCATTTCCAGTATCATCCTCCTTTCTCCCTCTCCTTCTCCTCCTGCCCTGGACATATGATTTGAGAAGGACTCAAGCCACAGAAATTCAAATCACATTCTCACACGGAATAGGGAACGATAGAATATATGAATTATTCATGCTCTTTTTGTCCCTCAACTGCAATTTTCATAAGAAGGTTGAATCTCCTTTATGGAGTTTCAAAAATGGGTACTAACTGTTCTCATTATCTTTTTTTGAGTGATTCAGCAGATATGGCCTCAGGAAAATTTCTACTCTCTTAGCTACAGAGATCATGCCAAATTGCAGGTAGCAACAGACACCATTGTATCAGACTCAGCATCAGGGAGATAATTTTCCAGGGAGCTTTGTTTGTCCTTAAAGTAGTTTTCATAGGGGATAGTATTAGACATGGAAACAAATCTGGAGTTAATCATCAAGCATGTTGTTCTGATGATTCCAATCAGCACCTAGAACTGAAAAATTCTCTCTCACGTAGACAAAGAGAGCATGGTCACAAGATGCAGCCAGAGGGCAGTCCTCACTGCAAAAGCTGACTGTGACTGACAAGGGAAAAGAAAGGCTCAGTGCTTGCAGGTGTCAGTGATACAAAGCACTGCATTTCTACTGAAAAACTTAGCTTTTATATATTTTAAGTATTATACTAAAAAAAATCTCAATCTATTTCTTTCACTGTCTGTCATCTCTCTTTAAAATTAAGATAGCTTTTTAATATTTTCTCTGACCCATTGTTGTTGTGGGCTTTCTGGAATCTGCACCATACCTCTGGTAGGCAGGGACCTATTTATGTTAGCTTTCCCCACAGGAGCAAAATGCCTTCAGCTGATGACAGGTGTAGGCTGTAGCACATGGATTCTCTCCAAATCTCTCAAGAACTGCAAAAGCCAAGAGCAGAACAAAGTTACTTTATGTCTTTGTGCAGAGCATGCGGACGTAGATATTTTCTTTTTCAGGCAGCAGTCATTAGAAGTCCATCTAGTGCAAAGAAAAGCAATGCAAAGAAAGCAATAATATTACATTTTTTTGTTTGTTTTTTTTTTTGGTGTGAGACTGGAAAACAGTTGTGGAGAAAAGTACTGCAAGAGAAAATTGCTTTTTTTTCCCTCCGTGTGAGAAATGAATAAAAAGACAACAAATGTCAGTAACAGAAATAAGAAAAAGTTTCAGACAATTTCAGCAGCAAGTAGCTGAGAAAATATCAGTGAGCAAAGAGCTGTTGCTAGTAGAGGCCAGAAAGAGCTCAGATCAGTATGACAGAGGTCTTCAGCAGGCCCCAGTATGCTGCTGCAAAAATACAACATTAACAGATAAAGGAGTGTATGATAGTTCTTGTGTGCAGGAAAGGCCAAAGGTCACACCAGTGTGGTTAGAGATGGACAGTCCCTTCCCTTGACTGGATAGCAATACCAAGCAGAAAATCAAGCCATGCTGATGTTGGATAGGAATAATGATGTTATTTTCATGAGATTGAACCGCAGAAGTGAAACTGATGGAAGTGCAGGAGTTGTTCCTCTAACAGAATCAGACATGAGCAGTTAACTGGAAGTGGCAGGTGGAGTGGCTGTGTGCTTAAAATCTCACAAAGCTTAGAGAGGAGAGGAGAGGAGAGGAGAGGAGAGGAGAGGAGAGGAGAGGAGAGGAGAGGAGAGGAGAGGAGAGGAGAGGAGAGGAGAGGAGAGGAGAGGAGAGGAGAGGAGAGGAGAGGAGAGGAGAGGAGAGGAGAGGAGAGGAGAGGAGAGGAGAGGAGAGGAGAGGAGAGGAGAGGAGAGGAGAGGAGAGGAGAGGAGAGGAGAGGAGAGAAAAGAAAAGAAAAGAAAAGAAAAGAAAAGAAAAGAAAAGAAAAGAAAAGAAAAGAAAAGAAAAGAAAAGAAAAGAAAAGAAAAGAAAAGAAAAGAAAAGAAAAGAAAAGAAGGAAAAAAAATTACGTAGGTGAATTCAGTTTTCAGTTTTTCTGGCTCTTCGGGGCATTCATGAAAGGACAGAGCCCTCTACTGGCCACTTCATTTATTGTATGGTTTCACAAAAGTGAATTAGGGTGGACTACAGCACAACTCTGGTTGCATTTGTCGTTCAGAAAACACCACATAATTTGGAAGAATTCCTGTAATTTGGAGTCATTTTACTTGAAGTATGCAGTAAGTAAATAGCCACAAAGCCTAGGCACATAGTGGAGCTGTTCGGTGCCCACTCTATTTCATCTGACCGAAGTGCAAAGCATTCCCACAGCCCTTTCTGATTGCTTTATTGGGCTTTCATTTTTTCTGTACCAGCTCAGGTCAGGTGAAAGTGAAGGGAGACCTTATTGTTCTCTTCCAATATCTGAAAGGTGCTCACAGCGAGAGTGGGGTTGGTCTCTTCACACTGGTGACAGGTGGAGGGGAAATGTCCTCAAGTTGCACCAGGGGAGGTTTAGGTTGGATATCAGGATAAACTTTACAGAAAGGGTTGTTAAGCACTGGAATAGGCTCCCCAGGGAGCTGGTTGAGTCACCACCCCTGGATGTGTTTAAAAACCGTTTGGATGTGGTGCTCAGGGACATGATTTAGCGGAGGGTTGTTAAGTTAGGATAGTTTGGTTAGGTTGTGGTTGGACTCGATGATCTTTAAGGTCTCTTCCAATTTGAGCAATTCTATGATTCTAAGCCAACCGAGAGTAAGCTGTACTCAGTGGTGAGGTTGGACTGGGACCTACATTGGTGGCTGTCTTCTCCAGGTCCAAGCACAGGTATCAACCATATCTTTGATATGAAACCTGTGAACTCCCATCCAACCCTGCACACACACTTCACAAGATGGGAAGACTCAAAACATTCTGTGATTCTGTGAAATTACTGGCATATACTTGACTAATTACCTGATTACATCACATACAAGAGCTCTGAAAACACTCACGTATAGCTCCTGTCTCACATTTTGTCTAGGTCTTAGGCTCCAGAGCTCAGCAACTTGTACTGTTATGTTATCCTCAGCATCTTTTTGACTTAAGCAAACCAGCTCTATCCCTCAAACTCTCCCAAACAGTTTGGTCGACTGCATGATCCCAGGACTCTTCTCAATGAGCCCTCCACATGCAGCCACTCAGTTCTGGGGGTCTAAAATCATGGCCAACATGCCATGCTGATGTGAGATATTAAAGCATCTTTTGACTTAGCCTGTGGTTTCATTTATGAAGAATGGTGCAGGAACAGGAAAAAAAAAAAAAAGAAAAAAGAAAAAAAAAAGTACCCATGGTAGAGTTTGGCAGGAAAATGTGGAAGCAGATTTGAGCAAAATAAGATAGTTTGGAAGAGTGTTGGGGAACTTCTTCAGATCCAAAAAACGTGAAATTTCCAAAAACTCCTTTTCCATTATACAAATCCATCATCATAATTAAAAACAAATCAGTGGAAATTTCTACACTCATAATAAACTTGATTGAAGCCACCAACGATTCCTCAGGTAGAAAGCCAAACACAGCCATAGCACAGCTGAAGGAACTCACCAGAAAAAGAATCTGGAGCATAAATAAATGAGAAATACCCAACAGAAAGACAGTGTATAGAAAAACATCCTCACAGTCCAATACTTTCAGAGATTTTATTTATAGAACTGTCATTTTAATTTGGCACATAGTAGGAAAATGGGAACACAATTTGGTGGGACAAGAGGAAAAATGCCAGTGTTGGTGGTTGTTTGAGGGGAGGAAGAGGAACACAAATTACAAATTAGGAGCAACCAGGGCTGAGAACAGTATAATATGAGGGTAGGCTCTTATCAGCTGCAGACCACAAAGAAACAAAAAAAAATTGAATCTTAAGCCATTTGGATGATGTTTCCATCTAGTAATGTAGGCAGAAATAAGCCACCAGACACGAGTTTAACACAACCCAGGATGTTTGTTCTGTTGGCAGAAGCTGAACTCTTCCCAACTTCGCTTAGCTTTCTGTTTGCATCATGTCCGGCTTGCTTCTGCTCTCACTGACATCAGTGGGAAGGTACTTCAGGCCTTTCGCAGTGAGCCAGTGGAACCCCTCCTAAGCAACACAGCTCTGCACCCAAGGGAACAGATAGGCCAAATGATTGTAATGTTTCACCAGAAAACAATTTTATTTCCCTCATTTTAAAAGAGTTTAATTTCTTCCTAAACCATTTATATCTTTTCTGCATGTTCTGCTGCCAATCATGTGGAATCTGTTGCCAATCATTCTCTTCAAGCTGCCTTTGTTTTTCTGGTATCTATCACTATCCACCATTTTTTGTTGGGTCAGCACCTTAGACGTTGGTCCCAAATATTACCAGCTTCAGGATAAAATACACTTGTGAGTTTGTTGCTGTTGTCCTCTCCTCCAGAAGCTTCTACCTTTGATCCCTTGTCTTTCTTGTTCACATGGGTTAAGAAGCAAGGATCAAGAAAGCACAGACAAACAAAGAACAGCAAAAAGAGCAAAGTGGCTACCCACTACCATCAGAAAACCACAAAGCATAAGGCTTCAGCAGCCCCGTGGTATGAACTGTGAGTGGCATTACCAGCATGAGAGGTGGGAAGACCCTCACAGCAGGTGCTGGCACCCCACTGTAACACACACCCCACAGAAGGTCTCAGACCTCAGTTACTATCAGCTTGTCCCAGCAGCTTATGTTATGATGAACTGCATTCAGAGCTGTTTTGTCATGGAAGGTGGCAGGGCAGAAGACAGAGTATGAATATTTTGGCAATTTTTAATTCATAATTGTGTCCATGGACCGCAGTCTGTATGACAGAGCTGAAATAAGGCTTGGTTTTATTGGCCTGTAAAGAAGCTGTTCAAGCTTTCTAGGTTAAAGATATTTCCCCCTCACCCTACCAGAGCCTACAATCACACAGACATTTATCAGATTAGTTTAATCTCAATAGTATGATTATCTAAACTCTGAAAGGGTAATCAAAATGTAACTTAAATCAAGAGATCAAAATAAGTATTCTCTGCTACGATTTCCCCAAAGTCACCTGCCCTTTTCCCCTCTGTTTTTTCTACTTAGGAAATTTGACCCCCAAAGCAGGAGGGAAAAAAAGGGATGTAAGCCAGCAGACACCCAGCACAAGCAAGTCCCTTCACGCTGCAACCCTCTGAGAAGTGCAGAGCATTTGTTCTGTGTGATTAGGGCAGGAGCATGCAGCACCACACCACTGCTATGCAACTCCAACAGATAAGATGATACTACAAGGATGTCAAGATCTATGTTTATCAACAAAAAAGCAGAGAGGAACTCCAGTGCTGACTGCACTCAATATCTGATCTCCAACAACTGGCAATTTAAAATAATAATAAAAATCTCATACATAAAGCCAGTTTGAAAATTTCTGTTCTTAATGACTGTACAGGAAAAGCAATTATATGAACTGTCGCAACAATCTGCATGGTTCATTCATCATCCAAGTAAGCTATCTCTGCTCACTGCTTTCATTATTGCTTTGCGCTCTGTAGATTTAAGTGCTGTTCATCCTGATCTGTCTGTAAAAGCTTAGCAAATAGGTTAAATTCAAAACCAATTGAGTACAATATTCAATCTTCCTATTTGTGTCCATTTATTCAGGAAACACTCATTCAAGAGATGTGTGTCAAGACTTACGGTACAGCACTAGGTATCATCTGTGCTACCATCCAATCTTTTTAGCAGAATGAAAAAGAGAAAATATGTATGACTTCAGAATAATTTCACTTATAATTCACGTAATCATAATCACTCAAACAAAAAAAAATTACCATCTGAAAACCAATGTTAAAATAATGCATTCTCTTACTTTCCTTGTTTGGTCCTGGGACAGTACCATAAAGTTGTTTTGTTGTTGTTTTTTTTGTTTGTTTTAATTACTATTTTTTGAAAATATACCTCTGTAGGACTCACATACACTGAGCAATTGTTTAAGGTAACAAAACCACAGGGCTTGGAAAGGGTATGAAGAGATCACTGAGTCCAACACCCCTGCTAAAGCAGGTTCCCTACAATAGGTCACGCAAGTAGGCATCCAGATGGGTCATTAATATCTCCACAGGAGAATGCACAACCTCTCTGAGCAGCCTGTTCCAGCGCCTTTACTGTAAAGAAGTTCTTCTGCATGATAGTATAGAACTTCCAATGTTCAAGTTTTAGGCCATTACTCTTTGTCCTATTACTATATAACACTGAGAATAGCCTGGCCTTGTCCGTTTGCTTCCCACCTCCCTTTAGATATTTAAAAACATTTACCAGATCCTCTCTGTCTTCTTTTCCCCAGGCTGAGACCCATGTGACACAGCCTTTCCTCATACAGAAGATGCTCCAGGCCCTTTATCATCTCTGTGGCCTTCTACTGGACTCATTCTAGGAGATCCCTGTCTTTTTAGAACTGGGGAGCCCAGAACTGGACACAGCACACTAAATGCGGCCTCGTCACAAAGCGGAGGAGGATCACCTCCCTCAACCTGTTGGCCATGCTCTTTTTAACGCAGCCCAGAGAAACGTGCATTTCAGCCATCCTGCAAAATATTTTAGAATTGAGTGTAAGTATGGTCAAATAAACAGGTGTACAGAGTTAACAACATATAAACAAAGTACACTGGCACATGTGTAACCCACAAGCACTTCTGAACACCTGCTATTCTATGCCAGAGTTGCATTTACATCAGAACCACGCATTTACCCGAGGCCCATATATGCTCTCATTCAGGCAGCTTCTCTTTCAGTCAAACTGGGAGTTGGAAGCTGTCCAGTTGTGCTAGAGGTGACTAAATTGGGACTTCACTCCCACCTTTCCTGCACTAGCAGATGAAATGAGACTGGGCCAAAAAGAGGCCAGAAGTGGAAAGGTATCAAACACTGTGGTTGCATCTAACAAAGCAATTTAGAATACAAGCAGATCTGAACAAGCAAACATCTTCCTGATGAAAAACTAGGTATTTTTTTCCGGCACAGGGGAGAAAGGAAAGGAGAACTGGGGCTCTTCTTCATACCATTTTTAGCTTCCTAAGGAAAAATAATTCAGGCAAACACTGTATGCCTTCAACTAAAATGCCAGTAAGTTCTTTTACAATACGTAATGCTATTCTTCATTTCTATGCCGAAGCTAAGCCTGCTCACAACTTACGCAAGCAAGTGATAGAATCCTGCCCAAATTAAAAGCAGTTACATTTTCACAAGGTAAATGTACACATGCTTTCAATCTGAATCTAAAACAATCACACCTTCTACAAACATTAATTATCCTAAATATTGTGCATCCAAGCTCTGTGACACACTCAAATTTTAACACCAGGCCAATTGTGGCTATTTCTCATCCTTATAATGTAATCCAAATTCTTTAATTACTAAGTAGAAAAGCTTTTTTTTTTTTTTTTTTTTTGAAAAAAAAAATAAATATATATTGTTAGGCTTCAAGCCACTTCTATCAGCATGAGGTGGGAGTGGGGGGAGGGGGGAGGTGGGAAGCTGCAATTATCTTGTAAAACATTACTAACGCCTTGGTAAATACCTGGACTTTTATTTTTCATTGAGGTTTGGAAGCTCAACAAAGTTTTGTTGAAAAATATCAGCCTCTTTTCTAAAGGGGTATATTCACTTACCCATCATAGCATATACAGCTGTTCATTAAACTTAACTTGGAAATTAAGTTGCTTCATATATTACCTACACATGTAAAAGCAATGCACAAATAGCAGCAATAGTATCAATTTTGGGAAAAAAAAAAATCAGAAGAAAATCTACCCGTACCAAAAGGCTAGTGAGACTAAGCAATCAGTCTACCCTGCCAGTAAGTTAACAACATAAAAGTCTGTATCTGTAATTATGCAACATCTGAGGAGGTCTTTTGGAAACATGAATGCAAGCAAGAAGAACATTGAAAGACGTATTGTCGCATATTCCCCAGCTGGCATAAGGAGAAAAACCTCTTTTTGATCAGAACAGCAGGATGGTGAAAGAAGATGAAAACAAACATGAGAATTTGGTTTAGAAAGCCAAACTGAAACACCTTTTTTATTTTTTAATTAAGTATTTGTATTTGTATTAATTAAGTATTTTAGTTTTTGTGAGAAGAAACAGGAACCTACTGATAATTATAACAGGTTTGTTTTAACTTTCTGAAATCCCTTCAGAGGGGTGCACAGAACAACAAAACCAATGTAGACAGAACTCTGCCTATTTTAGAGATACTCTAAAATTCAGCACTTAATATCAAATGGCCCACATTCTACATGCAAGCTGGACTCACAAAGAGCATTTTTCAGTAAGGTTTTGTGGACTTCAAGTGCCACTTGTTCTTCAAGCTTGCTTGAATAGACTCAAGTTAACAGAAAACAGTCTACGTATGTATAAATTAAGTAACCATAAGTAATTTGGGATGGCTCAAGAACTTACAGCAGAAAAGAATGTCCCTTAATCTAAAAAGACAGAAAGTCACTTTGGGAGGTTCTAGAAAAAAAAAAATATGCTACTTTTAGCTCATGTTGTAAAGGGAACCAACCAATCAGCCATTCCATACGAGCGTGGCTCTACTGAAAGATAGAAAAAAACAAACAAACAAACAATAAAGAGGTACTGAAGAGGATGCTTCTGTAAGTACAAACACCAAGTGATGAACAAGACCTACATCAGAGGAAAACCTAGCATGCATCTTCAACACTGTACAGAGAAGTCAGCAAGAACAAGAATTAACAGTTAAAAACTATACAAGGAAGCATTGCTTTCTTCTAAAAAGGTATATGGAAATAATTTCACTAATAAATAAAACACTGACATTCACAACTCATATGAATTAAACTGGTTTAAATCTTCAGGAGAAAGTGAAAATAGTACAGAACATTTCTTTTTCTTTTTTTTTTTATTTTCCTCTTCAAAAGCAGAAAGAGTGCCACTCTATCAAAAGATAGACTGTTGCAGCATATAAATTTGTGTCAATCTTCTTGTGCTTTCTGTTCAGGGGATACAGAACACAGGGTCATCCTTCCTATTAGATTGTTTACAGTTATCAAACACCTACATAAATCAACCTTTGTTTCTACTTAATTCATTAAGGAGTCGCTAAAACTACAGTAACATGATGTAAAAGTTTCCAAGCAATTCCTGTGAGAATTACTTAGGTTATTTTATGAATCAATTTGGATTTCTCTTTAATTCTCCTATGTTCACAACTATGTAACGTATATGCTTCTTGAATGTAAGAACTGCATGAAAATGGTCCAAAAGAAAAAAAAGACACGGAAACTGAGGTGTGAGGCAGTCAGTCCTCTTCCTACTTCTGCTTATTATTATTATTGTTGATTTTTTTTTTAAATACCATCGCTGAGATAACCCAATGCATGATACAGTCCCCACATCCTCACCAAACTGCTTTGCTGTTCATCTTTCCCAGCAAGTATTCAAACCTGCTTCTCTAGACAGAGCATCTGGAGGCTACAAAAGCATGACTTGTATTTCTCCATCAACCACATTTATTTGTGTGATGTTTTTTCCAGATCTGGAAGTTTTTCAATTAGTGCTTTATGGTCCATGTTGATACTGGCTATGAGTCCTCCCTCATTGCCATCTGAGCCAGTGTAACTAATTTCTTCACCCGTCAGAGTAGTCATGTGGCCACCCAATGCTCTCAACACTGCATTTCCAGCACATATGTCCCACTTCTTAATATAGGTGACATGGATATACACATCAGCTTCTTCTTGATTCTTTTCAGCCACGTCAAGGAGAGCCAGCACTTTGTAACCTACAATAATTGGTCAGAATAAAAAAGTTAAACCACATTTTCCAATTCCACACAAAGGAAAAACCTAACAGTAACTGTTAATAACTTGCACATGCAAAATACAGGAAAGTGATGTCATGAAGTACATATCCTGCCAGTGCACTACAACATCGAAAGCACCAATAAACCTGCCTGCCATCTAACCTAGACAGAAAATTGAAATAAAAATCCCATAAGAACAAAAAACACTTCCTCAAGATTCCTTTAGACAGACTTTACCTATGTGTTACATAGACTTATTTAGACACGTTAAAAAAAGTAAACTATAAACTCAAATATAGTTTTGCTCTTACATTCAAATATTTATTCCCTGATCACTATATTACAGTGAAGCCTACTTCTTTTTCTGGCTTTTTATTACAAGAAAGATGCATAGAAATACACCACTCTTTGTCACAGCAACTTAGTCCAGGGCCATTTATGTCTATCATAGTACAAAGTTATTGCTTAAAATAGCATTCTTTTCTTTATTTTACAGAGATTCTTTTTTTTTTTTTTTTTTATTCAACCAATCATTTTTGTTTTGTTAAACTTTTTCTCATTTGCAGAGTTAAGCCCAGGCCCAATATAATCAGCTGCACTTTCATCACCTCTGTCATAAGAAAATTGATTTAGATTCACTGTCAAGAGCCTGAACAAGATCACCTTCTCTAGCTTTCCACATTAAAGACTTAAAAAGACACATTTCTGTAAAATTCAAATTTTGTATGGATTTTGGAGATCTAAAAACATCCATTGCTTTACACTAGTGAAGCAATATATTGCATATATTTGCATTATGTCAGTAAAATGCAAAAGGATATTGCGTAAGGTTATGAAACATAGCTAAAAACTCCTCAGACTGAATACAGGACAGATAGCAATGGTCTTCAGTTACAACACTTTCCTATTTCCTGATGTAAATGAAAGCAATAGTATCAATCTTTAATGGCTTTTTCTTGTAACGCTGTCTAATTAATGTACTATTAGTTATCTAGGAACAAGCTGATTCTCTTCCATGATTCTTTATTTGGTCACACATTCTTTTACCTTCCACAAAGGCATCAGCACTTTCAGTGAATGTATACCAATGTTCAACAGGACCAAAACAGAACACTCTGGTCCAGGGCTAGATACACACAAACTGCCTGAAGCAGGTTTGCATTCAGGTTTCTATAGTCAAGAGATACTGTGTCCCTACTGCAGAGCGCTTGCTTCTGGGAACATGAACAAAAGAGGAGAAAGAACTCATGTCACACTTATTTCCTTTTGTCTAATAGTGGCTACCCCTTCAAATAGTTTGAAAGCAATAAAATTGATAGAACATTTAAAGAACCAAACCTGCTCCTCCAGCGGGGATTATCACAGTCTTATTTCCAAAGGTCTGCCGTGCAACCTGCTCCACTTTTCCTGCGTGGGAGCGGGATACAATAATCCTTGGAGTCTTGTCATTGTAGAAGGAACGAGCTTTTACATTTGACCCACCATCCACCATTGCCCAGGCTACAAGAGAAACACAAATGCCACTAAGCTTTATGAAAAGCTCTCTGTTAAGCATACAGATAAAAGAACACTCTTTGGAGAAGACTGAAGCAACTCAGTTATCCTCTGTAAGAGCAAAATTTAGGATTGACTGAGGAAAGTCCACATGTGCACAGAAGCATAAAAGAAAAAGAAACAGCTCCACACACAGCTTTGTGCTTATGGACTACTCCTATGTCATGCTTTCAAGTGCACAATAAGGTGGAAAAAATCCCAAAAATAGCTTGCAACTGAAAAATCATTAAAGTTAGAAGACATTTCTGAGGCAGATCTAGATCCAATTTTTCCCTCAAACAATTCTTCAGTAAAAACCAAAAACATTCTTCAGTAAAAACCAAAAACGACCCTTCAAAAAAGACAGCAGAAATGTTACCTTACGTTCTACTGCTACAAAGGATAATCATACTAAAGAAGGAAGTGAAAACATTTGATAGTGCATTTTGGAGGACTGGTTTTATTATACGCAACCTACTACTTATTTCATCATGCAATTCAAAGCCAAGCTTCGTAGGTGGCATCTCCTAACCATTAATTTGACATTTACTTAGCAGACTAACCAGCAATTGCATCTCAGTAGAGGACCACATTGTACAGTAACAGACTGAGCAGTGTGTAATGACAACAGCGACTTTTTCATTGCTTTGTATTGGTGTGGTACTATTAGGAACAATTCCACTCACAACATGCTGTTACTTCCAGCTTGGAAAATGAAAACTCTTGACACAGAATGACAGAATTAATTGCATTTCATCTGACGCCATGTCTGAACATGTCAGACTTTTTTAAACAAGTTAAATCCTCAAGATTACAGTGCTGAAAAACATTTATTTACATACAAGTTGATACTTAGAAAATACAATCCAATAAGCCCTTCAGGATTCTTAAAGAATACCAAAATATAGCACATACTTAAACAACATAGCTTAATGGAAAACACTGCTTGATGGACTGCATGATCTTAGAGGTCTTTTCCAATCTTGGTGATTCTATCATTCTATGACTGGTAATCAGGTTCATATTTAAAGAAGGTAAAATGTTTAGATCAAAATATTAAGTGTTCAAAAAGCACAAAAGAGAACAAAATTCATACATTAAGTCAGTTCCTGTGCAAGAACTACTACATAACTTCACAACTCTAGAGGTCAGTATTGCCTAAGGAAAAAACAAGAAGAGACATTCTTCTTTCAAGTGTATATTATATGAGATGTGAACACTAAAACTACTTCGAAGCATTCAGAAGTACACTTGGCCACAGAGTGCCAAACATGAACTTATCTTCACTGATACCTCATTAGTACTAATGACTTAGTTAGGCCAGGAATATGCCTTAATAAAACACGTCAGATACTCAATAAGGCTACCTTAGACAGTCTTGCCTGATACATAGGAACAGTTGCCATTAAGATCTTTCATTTATCTCTGGATGCAGTTTCATAGACCCAAGTTCTGCTGCAGTTCTGCTAAAGACTGTTAGCACATACAAAACCAGTCAGCATGTATATAGGTTTTATTTTCTTTGGTTTCCTACAAGCACTCCTATTGAAGAAATCTTAATTGTTAAACATATTTTCCATTAGTTGTGGTTTGTTTTTTTTTTGTTTGTTTGTTTAATTTATTCGTTTGTTTTAAATGCATCATTTTTATATTAAACAGAGACAGTGTTTTCCTTTGGGGCCTCACAGCACACTGACAGCTCTGGATCCGAGGTCTGCAGTGCTGTTCTTTTGCACTCAAGTATTATTTTCCTCATTTATATCCAGAGATTTTCTCTCAAACATCGAATTTTAGTTAACACTATGACAGAAGAGATCAGATATATACAAAGGGATAAAGATACCTGTATATGCCGAGAATGGCTTATGTATCACTCCTATTACTGGTTTCCCATTTACAGCCACACAAACCATTGTTGTGACATACTGCCGAAGATCCTCTGTGGGCAAAATGAAAGGAAGAAAGTTCATGGACAGATGTTCAGAATGCAGGAAAAAAAGCAGGCTGGACATGATATAAACACTGCTCTTTAAAGACTAGCCTACTTTCTAACTGGTACAATTACATAACTTTGTTTGATCTTCAAATAACTTTGTAGATAGCAAAAGATTTTACAGGCTCCCAGTTCCCCAGCAGTTTTTCTTCTTCAGTAGATGTACCTTGTGCTTATACAAGAGCCACTGCTAATAATTATCTTATGTAGTGTCTTCATAGCATCTGTGCTCTTAAATTCTCCCTGCTATGCCCCATACTCTTCTACAGTTTCAAAGCTGAAACATTCAAACGCTGAAGAACATTCACCTTATAAGTGATTGTATCAACAGAATATTCAGCTACCATTTCAGTTGTATTGCCTCAAGCTGCTTAAGCGACATCTTAAAACATATGAAAAAGAGAGACTGAATTATATATCCTTTTCAAAAGTCGGAAACAAGAAGTCATTTTAATCAAGTTAAATATATTCATTTATTCTTTCCTTTACAGAAAGGAACAAAAAAATTCTGAGCTTAGTGTTATCACAGTAATAACTGAAATCAAGACATGCAATACCAACACAACCTATAAGTGGCATTACCATCTATTTTAGTAATTACTTTGTTGCAAAGAATTCCTCAGTTATTTCAGAATTGGAACGCATAAAAGTAATGCTATGGTGTGACAGCTATACAGATTTCATTATAAAAATGTGCTCAGTGTAACACATCAGCTTTGATAGAGCACACTCTAAATACGTATCAGTATTTAGAGATGCCACTTTAAATACTTACCATTTTGCCTTTAGTAAAAAGACAAACATTAGAATTACACACCTGTGTACTCTTGTGTAGCATCTAATGGATCAATCCAGACAGTAACACTTTCTGCTGGAACCTCTTTAGGCTGTATTTTTTCTTTTATATCTTCAGGAATATTGCGATCCCAAGAGACTGTCTCCTGATCAGTTGTATCAACACGTTCCTCAGAGTTTATCTACGATAAGAAAACAAAAGCAGGTGCATTAATTTATCAGATGCAGCAACTGTAGAAGTGGAAAAGTTAGAAAATCTTGTATGCATCTGTTTCTTCCTTCACCTCAAACTACAACAGCACACACTGGTCATTTTTCAGCACCTGACAAGTTGCTAACATCATGTTACAAGTAATGAAAAATCACAATTCACAGTTTTATCGTGAACCACACCACAGTTGGACGCCATAATTCTGACTTCAACTCTTCCAGTGGAGTGTTCCCATTGTAAGAATTCTATCTTTTACTCAGAACTTAAATGCAGTTGCGTCAAAGATACAAGCAGAATATTCAGTTCAGGATGCTAGTACAGTACACAGCTACAGTGGAGATCTAATACTGTACTTACACTGACCAGTAAACAAAGATTCAAGTGTACAGTTCTTATCAGTACTTTGCAGACTGTAGTATGACACGTGGGATTAAGAATCCTAGGTTATATTCCTGCTTCAGGGATTGAATAATGACTAGCAATATAAGCAGTTCAACTGGATGTAACCTTTACACAGCTGTCAGATGTGTTTTATTTTATAAACAAGTCAGTAACATTCCTCATCTGTCTTTAGGGTAGATTAGGCCAAGAAACTAAGATAACCTAGAAATAACATTTATAAACAGCAGTTAATAATATTTAACCTTGTTGTCACTTGCTGTCTAGCCTACTGAATTTTATTCTTGAACACACAGTGTTACACAGAACCACAGAATTAAATCCCTCACAGGCAGTGATATCTTTCATTAGATCAAGCTGCCTGAGCCCCATCCAACCAAACCCTGAATGCCTCCAGAGACAGGGCATCCACAACTCTTCTGAACCTGTGCCTCACCACTCCCTAAGAATTTTTTCCTAACACCTAACTTAAATCTCCTCTTTTAGCTTAAAGCTGTTCCCTCTTGTTCTATCACTACCTGCCAGTCTGAAAAGTCAATCTCCCTCCTATTTATAAGCTCCCCTCAAGTACTGGAAGGCTACAGTGAAGTCTCCCCAGCACTTTCCCTTTTCTAGGCTGAACAAGCCCACCTCCCTCAGCTTGCCTTCATAGGAGAGGTGCTCCAGCCTTTTGATCACCTTTGTAGCCCTCCTTTGGGCCTGCTCCAACAGCTCCATGTGTTTCTTGTGCTGGGGGCCCTGGATGCAATACTCCAGATGGGGACACAGAAGGGCAAACCAGAAGGAGACGATCTCCTCCCTTGCCCTGTTGACCATCCCTTTTTTGATGCAGATCAGGGTACAGTTGGCTTTCCAGGCTGCAAACTCACACTGTTGGCTCATGTCGAGCTTTTCATCCATCAACCACGGGTTTGTCTCCATAGGGACGTTCTCAATCCACTTGTCCCAGTCCACACTCATAGTGGAGACTGCCCATTTCAGAACAGAGATCAGAACTCTGTCCGTTAGTGCAACTCACGACCCCATTCTGCTGAAGGGATGAACATTCTGCAAAACCCAGTACCGTAATTTCAGCTGAAGTAGTAAGACAGCTTTGAGTCACAACAGATTCATCTGACACAGAATACTGTACATAATGATATCTTACACTACAAAATATATGTCCCCACAGTTCCTCATGCAGGGTTACACAGGTCAACCTGCCTCAGTTCACACTTACTAGCTTACTACAATTTCATGCATGGTTTACAGGAGAGCTGTAATATAACTGAACAAAGGTAATGCCAAATGGAATTCAGATAAATTCAACTCATTTCCTTTTAGCACCTCAGTTACATCAGGAAACTGATACTTCTTTGTTCTTTCTACTGACAGTAAAAAGGAAGGCACTATCACTGTGCCTTTCATGCTTTAGCCTATAAGAAGCCTTCAGCAGTGCATCAGTCCACTAATTATTCATTAGAACAATGAAGCTTGTTGCTCAGATGTGTTTTTTAAATGCCTAAGTGTACTCAACTTGGACTTTTAAGACATTCCAGAATATCAGAAAAGCCAGTTTAGAGGCAAGCTAAATCGAATGTAATTCTAAAATGATTTTTTTTATTGATTAGTTCTGATGTCCAGCCATGTCAAAATGTCAAGCAGACATGGGATGCGAGGTGTCTACCATTTACAGCCACCTATTTCACCTTATTGACTACAGAAGGAGTCTGCAATCATATTAGCTTGGATCCAGATATTTAACTGCTAAAGCAGATGAATATCCTTTAACTAAACAAACTTATTATAGATGTCACAGATAAGTGACACTGAAAAACAATGAAAATAAAGAAGTGATCAGATTAGGTCAGGCTGAATGGGTCTCTGAGAGACCTGATGTAGCTGTAGATGTCCCTGTCTTTGTATGGGAGTTGGGCTAATTAACTTTTAAAAGACCCTTCCAACTCAAATGATTCTTTAATTCTGCATTTGAATATAACAGACTTTGTATCAGTAGGATTTTCACTGAATTTACTTGACAAGAAAAGACACCACACATCTCAGCTGTAACAGATTATTAGCAAAGGGTTAAAGGCCATCTTGTTCAAGAGGACTGAAAAATGAAGAAGCAAGCAAAACTTCAACATCTCCAGCCACGTCATAGCTGTCTTTTCATGTAAAACCAGTATTTGAAGCACTACACGCCAAGCAGAACCCTTGAAGTTGCCATGACATTTACAAATTAAACATCTGTCATTGTACGATCAACCTGATGATTGTGTTTTTCCCAAGGGGAACCGTTCAGCAGAGTCAAAACAAGTAGCTCCACAGACTTGGCAGGCTCAACACAACCTCCGGGCAGTTCAAGTTCTGCTATAGCATATCAGGCACCTCTATAAGAAATTGCATTTTAACAAGAAAAGAAAAAAATTGGCAACAAAATACATTTCCTCAATAGAATGCAGAACAAAGGCTGCTTCCAAAAAAGTTACTAGAGTTGGAATCAATTCTATAAAAAGGAAATAAATATCTCGTTACACTTGTTATTACAGTAAAATTAGAGATTTACACGGTAATAGTTGCTGAGATTTTTGGTTTCAAAGGCTAAGTTCTGGAATTAAAATGCTAGCCCAGCTGATATGAAGTACTGTGTTGCATCTTTGCAATTAAAGACACCTCCAATGCCAAATCCCATATCCACATGTGGCTGAGGGTGCTGAGGATGTGGCAGTGTGAACTTCATGACTCGCATCTTTCTTTCTCTGAGATGCACCAGAGATTTCACCCAGAGGCTGAGGAATCTCCTTCTTTGTGATATGCAGAAGCTACCTGACCATGGGCCTGGCATCCTACTCTGGGTGTCCTTACTTGAGCATGGCTTGAGCCAGAAGGACCCTAAGGTCCCTTCTAGCCTCAGCTATTCTGTGATTCTCCGCAAGTATCTAAAAGGTACTGTTTTCAGAGAAACACCTACTACTTCAGAAATTGTGTAACCCATGATGTTGCAGCATTTATATTGCTACTGCAGTCTCTTGCAACAGTCATAACTAATCTGCCAGAAAAAACAGTGGAAAAAAAGATAGCAGTGCTGTGGTCGTATAGACCCCGTGACACTAGTTCCATTTTCTGCTCTTCCTCTGCAAGCCACCTGAAAGAAACAGTCATCTTGGTCACTCACTCTTCTACCAGTATTACCATTTATTCTGCATCCTCGGCTGAATACAAGTCATAGGCCACGCAGAAACTCCAGCCATTCCACCACCTGCATATACTAAATTTATTTATTGTTATGAAACTGTATTATAGGTCTGTATAATAATGTTGCCTTACAGAGAATCACCAGTCCTTAGTACTGGGAACTTTTCTTCTTTTACTTTAAATACAAGAGAACATACCAAGAAAACGTGCCTTTGTATTAATATGATGGCACATTTTACTGCTTGATGTTGAGTTCCTACCTGCCATTCCTATTTGCTGGAAGCTTCCAAAGGCTGTGACCTTAAATTTCAACCTTTTCTGAAGCGATATGGATACGCAGTTGACTCAACTGCCAAGTCTTCAGCTATGGTAGATTAACAACCACAATGCTAAATGCTTTAGCCAAAGTTTATTCCAGCAAGATACTCTCAAACTGTTAACATACCTAACTATAAAGTTGCAAGTTTCTACGCTTGCTATCATCTACTCTTAAGAGTTAGATTTAAATAGCAATCCATCTTACATATGTGCTTATTCCTGAAAGTCTTTTAGATCCCCATCTGGTAATAAAGTGCTCTCAGTTCCAAATCTTGATGCTTTTTTATTAGTAATAGAAAACAATTACTATTCCACTCAACATAAACAAGACAGTTCAGGTAACAACAAGATGTATTCATATTCTGACTTGTGAATTTGCAATTCCAAGTACAATAGTTCAAGAACAGAGTGATCAGCTGAATGGGTAACTCCTGTGATTCAAACAGGAACATGAAAAATGCCTAAAGACCCAGATGAAGCAGCACACAGGAACATCAGCAAAACACTAACAGGTTCTTGACTTCACTTTTCTATTTTCTTAGGGCATTAGCTCTGCTTAACAGACACAGTCAACTCATAGTCATTACGCAATGTGTGCCTTACACACACTTAATATTCAAACTGAACTTGGCCATTTGTATTAAAGTGATTCAAGTGATCAGTTACTTGGTTAGGCTTCAGAAGAGCATTCAGAGGAGAAAGGTTCCCTCAGCAGCCTTTGAGCTCCTCCATTTACCGAAGCTTCCCTTGCACAGCCCCACACGTCCCACCGTCACCACCCAGCTCTGAGAGGGACATACTCCCACATGCTGGAGGCTGGGCTCTTTTACCTTTGTTTGCTCAGTTGCTGACTTCTCCCTCAATTGTACCAGAGGGGAAAGCTGACCCATTTTCTTGCATCCTGACTTACAACGAATAGAAGGTGGTAAAAACAGCAGAAATATAACAGAGGAAATTGCACGGATCACAGGAGTTACACCTGTTGAAACAACTAAAACCTAAGAACAATAAATGTAATAAAACGTCACTCCCTCGCTAGTCCACAAATTGTTTCACTAAATTCACATTCACAGTTCTGCACAGACAGAAGTTCAACAGAAAGAAAGGAATGACCGGCTTGCTGTAAGTGCCACAGCACCACTTGTCAACCTAAGACCCCAGCCACGCAGGAGCAGAGAACAGCACGTACACAGCAGCTCCAAGGAGCTCTGTGTTCTGTGAGGCACTGCACCAGCACAGAGCTCCAGGTGCTCAGCTGACAGACCAGATAGCCCTGCTGCAAGCACAGCGCTACTGCTAATTATACCTGCAAAGATATGATCACAGAGCCTGGTACCATGAAGTTGGGGGTTTAATTTCATTTTGGGTACAAACTCAGCAAGAATCAACGAGCATCAGGTAAAACCCATATTAAAAAGTGTATGCTCAGCCAACACCTACTGATGAGAATACAGATTAACATTCATGCTTCTTGCTTTACTTACAAATATGCTTGTAATCACTATGATCATGATGGCCAAAAGAATGTCAACTTTCTTAAAGCCCTAAGAACGCCTTTCTTCCAACATGAAGAAACAAATTACCGTGTTTACGCTGGAGAGCACCGAAACCCTTCTAAAATCTAAGTAGCATTTTGTTCGTAAGATCTAGTCCTTTGACATACCTATCTTACTCCACTGAATTAGTTATCAGATGCAGAGCTTGACATCTTAGGCCCGGAAAAGAGAAGGCTCCTGATTGTGGCCTTTCAGTACCTAAAGGGGAGCTAGAGGAAAGAAGAGGACAGACTCTTTAGCAGGGTCTATGGTGATAGAACAAGGGGAAATGGCTTCACGCTTAAAAAGGGTACATTTACTCAAGGTACATGTATTTTTATTTTATTTTATTTTTAAACAGTGAAGGCGGTAAGGCACTGGAACAGGCTGCCCATAGAGACGGCAAATGTCTCATCCCTGGAGACATTCAAGGGTAGGCTCTGGGCAATCTGATCTAACTATGCATGTCCCTGTTCACTGCAGGGGAGTTAGACTAAATGACCTTTAAGAGCCCCTTCCAGCTCTAAGGATTCCACGATTCTACTCTATTCTAAATAGATAAAAGAACCATTAGGTTCAGGGCAGCGTCAAGACCAATGAAAAGATGCTTAAAGGGAAAGGGTGGGAAGAGAACACTTGATTTCCATTATAGTCACAATAAATCAAGAAGAAAATAAGGGTATTTCTTTGCTCAATATTCAATATTCAGAAAACAAGACATACAGCTGGCACAACTACAGAGAAAAAATATCAAAGTACTGGTCAAAAATAAGCACAAACTGCCTAAGGAGAGGGAGAGATCATCTGAGTTAGCAAGACTGAAATCTGCATCCTGTGAAAGTCATGGCAATGTAGTGCAGAAGCAAAAAAGCAGAACTACATGTGTCACTTTAAAACTGGCTTTTTCAATGTGAGAACAGGACTTTGGCCAAAGCTCACATTTAAGGAGATTGCACCTCCCTAGTAAATCATTCCCACCCCTTTGTGCAAGTACACTGTTCCTTCTGATGTGTTGTTGCAGTCTGTCAGTAGGGTCGCAATGCAAAGTGAAGCATTTAAGTATTCTTAAAGTGTTACTTATTTTACACTTTTCACCTTGGATGCATTCAGATATCAAGTTTCCAACATCAACTTCCACGCAGGCAGCACTGTTAAAACAGAATACCCTGACATGTAGTGCTCAGATAAACTCTTGTAGCGGGTAATGCTAATGAAACTCCTGAACAAGTCATCTGTTCAAACAGAGCAGATCTTCCAGGCAGAGCATATCCAGGATTCTTGACAGTTTCCAACTGGATTTGGAATCATAGGTTCTCCTCTCTACTCGCTCCATCCTTTACCAGGGCTGGCTTGAGCATCACTTTAAAGCCTTCACCCAGTTCCCAAAGCCAGTCCTTATTTCACAAATGCTGGGCAAGGAGTAAGTTGAGCTGCATGGAGAAACAACCCAAAAACCAAACAGTGAAGTAACCCAGAAAAGGTAAATAAGTCAAGTAGAAAGAATCAGAGGAGATGATTTTAGCTGGATCAGACCCCTGAGTACTTCTTAGCATGACAAGCAAATAGAAGAAGAAAACATTGCTGAGGATAAATCTCAAGCCTGTGGCTGCAGTTGAAGGCTTTATCAAGAGAAACCATTGTGCATATTTGACCATGAAATGCATTTTGAAGTCACCTGCACACAAGCTTCATAGGAGATGCAAATTTTCACTGCTTGCACTTGACTGCACTGAGACAACCCTGGCCAGTATCTGAGTTAGAAAGGACTTGCCACCCGCCCGTGCCTTTTGTTGGGGGGTATAGCAACAATACAACACAGTACTGTTCCATTTCCTATGCAGTCATAAAAGTGAATTGATCTGTTGCTCTTCCTTTTCATCCAACCTTGCTGCAACAGGTTTTAAATGCAAATACGTACATTTGTATCAAACAAAACTGGCGATGTAAGCAGTGGAGTTACACTGTAAATGAAAACAGCATTACTTGCAAAACATTTTCTTTATGTATTAATCATTTCCCCCCTCTTCTTCCCCTCAAATTTTGATACATATATATACATATATTTTCAAATCACAACTAAATTAATTGTGAGAATCCTTCCAGATTTATTTCAGCTTCCACATGTGAAGGTCTAGCTCTTCCTATATTCTCTTAATAACCACTCCCTCGAAGAAGTTCTACTTCAGACAGACTGCACATCTTGTGCTCTGCCAAGCAGCATGATACAGGACATCCACGACTGCTCACTGACTTCGGTTTATTTCAGTCAAATGACTTCTCCCCGTAGTTATTTTTAAACATTGGAAAGCCACAATTTATCATGAGCTTAACGTTGAGATACCCGTTAAGCTTAGGGCTTCCACGATGCAAGTAAATCAGTATTTTGCTTTACTCACAAACTTTGTTGAATTCTTTCAGTTTTTGTGTGACAGTTCTTTTGTTACCACTGCCTCCTCGAGCAAAAATAGAGAAGGGTTTCTATTTTACTTGAACAACATTCTTTATGCCGGAGTGTCCGTCTGTACTTGGAGATAAGGCTGCGGCCTTATTGCTTCACATGAAAGATGTCTCAGAAAAACTTCATATCGTTATCAACACAAATTACAGTTCTGTAAACAGTAGGAATTTAAAATAAAGGATGCAAGAGGTAGATAACAGAATTACTGATGAAGATGATCTTGTCTTCACACCTGAAAATTTTGTACTCTAACATGCAAATAGTTTTTTTTTAATAAAAAAAAAAAAAGGCTTCAGTTGGAAGGGACCTCAAAGATCATTCAGTTCCAATCCTCCTGCTGTGCGTAGGGTTGCCAACCACTAAATCAGGCACCAGATCAGGTTGCTCAGAGCCCCATCCAAATTGGCCTTATACACCTTCAGGGATGGGGCATCCACAATGTACCTCTCTGTGCCAGAGCCTCACCACTTCAGCATGCTACAGCCTGAGACAGCATGTTTTACCAACATACAGTTTGGTAGATATTTTTTACATACCTAATGAAAGAAGGTGTTATCATTCAGATCATATACTTCAAATATCCCAGAGATGACTTGTCAGAGTTAGAAACATTAAATCAGCTGAAGGATTTGTCAAACTCACTGTTCCTCATCCTCTTAAACTCTCAAGCTCATTCAATCTAATGGATTAGAGAACCAGGGAGAAGATAAAGCCGTACACCTGAATTTTACCTGGTTCTGGGATGTATATAAACGTGATTGATTTCAGAATTTGTGAACATATCTGTGCTTTAGGGAGTACCATCAGTTTTTGAAGGATAGCAGAAAATGCTAGCTACTTGGAAAATACAGCAAAACACTGTTTTCAAGCACGGAAAGCTCAATATTCATGTCCTTCAAGGAGAAAAGACCCATGTCAGACCGTCACCTGAGAGGGGCACACACAGGCAGCCACACACAGAGCATGCACTGCACCAAGCTCTAATCCCAAAGCAAATCCCCAGCCTTGAGTTAACACAGAAAGCCTTTATACCTACACAAAGGCAATCCCTCCTCCTACAGAGGGGTCAAAATGCGTTACTTTCAGCAGCCACACAGTCACACCATAACAATCCGGGACTTTTCCTTCAACACAGAGTTTCTTAAGGCAGCTTGTCACTAACAGACAAACCATTCACCTTCAGAGCACGGCCTGAAGGCGTGCCAATACTCTTGTAGAGAAAGATGAAGAACTTAACTCCACATCAACAATCCATCAATCTGATGGTTTCACAGTGAATGTAGTACGTACGGCACTTTACGGAGAGACACACACCCAAAGGACCCTCTAACCAGGCACTGAAAACCGACTAAATGCCTGCTTACAGGAGCTAGAAGGGCTTGGATCTCCTCACCCTCCCAACCCCTTCCTCCCACTGACGATGAGGTGGCACCGCCACAAAGTCAACCATGAAAAGAAGCGCGTTTCCTGCGCCCCGTCCCCAGCCGGGCGCCGACACGTGTCGCTCCGCGAGCGGCGGCTGCACGCAGCACCCACCTACCTGCACGGCGGGGAAGGCGGCCCTCAGCAGGTGGAACATGCGGCGGTTGGACAGCAGATCGCCGCTCGTCAGCTTCTCCTCGGCCCCCTCCCGCGTCTTCCCCTTGGCCTTTTCGTTGAGCACGTTGCCATCGCGGACCCGCCGCACCTCCACGCCGCCCCGCACGGCCGCCAGCACAGACACGGCCAGCAGCTCCCGCAGGTCCACGTTGGCCGTCGAACCGCGGGATCCCTCGGGTCCGCCCGCCGCCGGCTCGCTCAGCATGAAGAAGGCGAAGCGGCCGGCCAGGAATCCGGAGTAGAGATGGTAGAGGACACCCAGCCCCAGCAGGCAGAACACGGCCATGCCGAGCGGGGAGAGGCGGATCCCCATGGGCGCCATGGCCGGGCGCAGCGGGGCGGTGCCGGGCACTCACTGCGGCCCCATGGCTCGGCTCGCTCCGCCGCGGCGGGGCCGGCCGGCTCCAGCTCCCAGCGGGCTGGGGCGGAGCGGAGCCTGTCTGTATCCGGGTCGGGGGGGGCGGAGCGCCGCCGTGAGCACTGAGCATGTCTCGGCGGCCGGCCGGGCTTTTGCTGTGGGATCGCCTATGGGTGTCGAGGGGAGGGAGCGGTGGGGTGTGTTATGCACCTATGCTCATACCGACTTGTGTTTCTTGGAGGTGTTAAGCTTTTGGAATCATAGAATCACTGAGGTTGGAAAAGACCTCTGACTTTGTCTGGTCCGGCCATCAGCTCAACACCACCTGGTAACCATAGAATCATAGAATTGCTCAGATTGGAAAAGACCTTAAAGATCATCAAGTCCAACCACAACCTAACCATACTACCCTAACTAACAACCCTCTGCTACATCATGTCCCTGAGCACCACATCCAAACGGTTTTTAAACACATCCAGGGATGGTGACTCAACCACCTCGCTGCGGAGCCTATTCTAGTGCTTAACAACCCTTTCTGGAAAGAAGTGTCCATGTCCCTAGGTGCCATATTTACACGTTTCTTGAACACCTCCAGGGGCGGTGACTCCGCCACTCCCCTGGGCAGCCTGTGCCAGTGCCTCACCACCCTTTCTGTGAACAAACATTTCCTAATATCTGACCTGAATTAACAACGTGGAAGCTTAGCCCCACTGTAAGATTACCCTTGCAAGCTAAAGTTGCTGAATCATCTCCCCCTTAACTCTTCCGTTTCAACAGCACCTTCAGTTATGTGGGTGCATACTATGTGTTGCACTGTATCCAAAGTGCCGCTGTGCAGGGGCTACAAATCAAAGAAAGCACTACATTTTAAATGAGATTCAAAAGAGCTGGATTTTACTCTTAGTAATGCTGGTATTTAACTTTCTAGGTTACTAGGCAATACCTGGAGTGTCCAAATTTTCCTATTTTTCTTTTCCTTTAAGACTTTTTTTTTCCTGTGCAGTTGGTTCTCTAACAGAACAGCTTGAAAGAATGCCCTGTTCATTTGCCTTTTTTTGAATTCACGATTCAGCATTCAGGCTGGACATTAGGAAATATTACTCTGAAAGAGTGGTCAGGCACTCGAATGGGCTGCCCGGGGAAGTGGTGGAGTCACCAACCCTGGAGGTGTTCAAGGAACATTTGGACATTATGTTGAGGGACATGGTTTAGTGAGAACTATTGGTAGGTGGATGGACTGGATGATCCTGTGGGTCTTTTCCAACCTTGGTGATTCTATGATTCTAATTTCATACAGTAATAATGAATGCCAATATCTACAGCAACAGTATTAGGAAAGAGTAAATTTGTGTATGCAATGAACATGAGACCAGCATAGGTGGGCGTTTACATAAGTTGCTTCAAAAGTAATGCCTCCTATGGAAAATACAAAGAGTACATTTTTAATACAACAAATTCTCAGCTACAAAACACTATTTTTCTACGTAGGCACCACCATTAACTATGCACTTTCACTGGCGATGAACAAGATCCTGTAGGCCACACTTGTAAAAATCTGCACCAGCGGAGGTGACCACTATCACAGCTGCTGTGATGGTGTCATTGCTAGGAAAATGTTGCCCACTCAGTCCATCTTTCACTGACCTGAACATACAGAAGTTAGAAGGCACTAAATACAGGTTACTGAGTGGATGTGGTAGTAAAGCACAGCCAAGATTGGCAATATGCTCCATGGTCTTTGAACTGGTACCAGGTCTGATAATACAGTGTTACAAGGGAAAAGCTGTCTTCTTCTCTGGCCTGGAAGTTCAAGCCTTCAAGCTTAGTTAGTGTTGCAATGTAGCTTCAAAGTTGATGGTTTGTTCCAGGAAGTCCAGAAGGACCACCCATTTTCTATCCCAAAAGACAACACACATTACTACCCAGTGAGGGCTGTGTCTTGAACTTTCTCTTAGATGGGGAATTCACATGTTGCTGGTCCATGGGCTGCCATTTAGACTCAGGCATGTAGTGATAACACCATGTCTCATCATCAGTGATGATACAATCCAGGAAACTATTCTCTTCAGCTGTATATTTTTTGAACAGATCCTGACAAACTTGCATATGCTGTTTTTTCTGTTCCTATGTGAGCACTCATGGGACCCCTTGGTGCAAACTTTGTGATATTCCAACATTGTCATCATTGTTTCCAATGCACTGAAACCAATACACAGCTTGGTACACAGTTATTTGGATGTAAACTGCTGTCACCTCTGCTGAAATGCACCACCCACTGTCTCATTGCGCTCACTTCCAGTAGTTGGTCTCCATAAATGTTCAGCAAGCATTGATGAATGTCAACAAGTGACATTTTTTCTGTGCAAAGGAATTCATTGTCACACCTTTGTTTCATATGTACTTCCACATCAGATCCCATTTTGTCAGACTGTTCTTCTGCTGCCATCTGTCACAGGCAAGAAAATGTAACCGAATATTGGTGGGAAGGTTCAACTTCTTCTGCCATACCACCAACAGCTGTCTCTGATACTGCTGGCCAACATAATAAAATAGAACACATTACTTCCAAAGCAGCCCTTATAATTTGTGTCCCTTTTAAAAATGCTGGCCAATGCAAAAGGCAGCTGTGCCCTACGATGCTGTCAGGAACTGTTCATGTGCTCCGTGAACTGGAACTTCAAGCCACGGGTGGAGGAAACCTAGGGGGAGGAAAGAACCTGGCATTATTTATTTATTTATTTATTTTTAATCGCTGCTTTCTGAGCTGGTTTCTTGTTTAATGGAAAGACAGTAAAATATTCATCTTTTTAAGCCACCGAAGTTTGCAAAGACCTTTCAGAGACATTGAAAAATAAGGGAGTTATTACTTTCCGCAAAGATTTCTATGGCTGTGGTAAATATAGCTTGCAAATACTGATGCTAATGTAAGCTGTGAAGTGAACAGTGCACAAAGTACTCTTTATTTCAGTGGTACTGTATGTACTAACTGCTGGCTTTCAGCATTCACCATGTCTACTGCTGAATGCAATCACCTAACCAGTAGGCAATATGCTAGCATCCTTTTTGTCCATAACAACCTTATGTAAATCAGAGAGTACCTACGTTCATGTGGGCACTGTGACAGCTGCAGTCTTAGCAGAAGGCTCAGTCTCATATGAAGGCATCACCCAGGTGCAGTGTATATGGGGAGCTCTGACTAGTCACTGCTGACTTTCTGTAAGCAATTTCTTCCTTCTTTCCATCTCTTTTCTGCTTACATTTCCTGCTCTTGCCAGGTAATTTTGGTTGTAACACCATCTCATCCAATCTTGTTTACAGTCGCAGCCCCAGTTCTAGTCTTTCTTATATCCTGGTTGTCTCTGTGAGATGAGAACCTCAGGAGCGTTGTGCAGGGATGTACTAAACTTGAGGATTTTAAATTTTAATTTTAAGGTGTTTGTTTAAAGTAGCATTTAAAATAAAACTAGAACACTGCAAAGTGTTTGAAGCACAAAGGTGAAACAAACAGGGCAAAGAATATGGACATACGTCTCTGTTTTAGAGTGTATCCCAAATAGAAATGAGCTAATGCTTCTGCACTTTTGCTGCCCACTCTTGCTCAAACAGATTCCCTGATTGCTGCAGCTCATGACTTATGAGGACAGGTAGAGTGACTGCCTTGGCTTAAGGAGTTACCCACAGTCACTCTGCAAGGAAGTCTGCTATATCAGGAAATATAATATCAACCAAGGTACAGTATGGTTTCATAGATCATAATATGTTAGGTGAGATCAAATGTGCAACTGTAGTCCATTAAGAGGGATGGGTTATGTGATGTCTTGCTCAGTTTTATCCATTATGTTTGTCTGTGGGTTAGACAAGCTTTCTTTATCTCTGTGAGCACAGGGGCTCAGTTTTTCATAGTTGACAATAAAATGTTTATGGTTCAGGTTAAATGGGTCCATTTTTAAATGCGGGAGGAGTTTGTAGCATAGTGATGACAACAATGCTGGGCACTGCTGGGGGTGAAGCACACTAGTTGCTGCATTGGTTAAATGCCCAAAGCATGGCTGCCTACCCAGAAGACAAGAAGAGGAGATGACTTTGTTAAGAAAAGTCCCCTAGAATGAATTTCTTAACTGGTTTTGATCTTGGAATTGGCTTGAGGAACTGAAGAGTTCCTAGTTCTCATAGCTCAGTTCTCAGGTGAGTGGAGAAGAAATGGACCCAAATTCAAATGAAGAAAAAGCCTGTGCTACATGTGGGAATTGCATCTCTGTTCCTCACCAGGACAGGATCCAACTCCTGCAGCTTGCAACAGACCACACTACCAGAACTGGAGCTGTAATTAACATTCATAGTCCTCCAGTGCATGCTGCTCAGTGCCTGTCTCCTTGCATTGCTCCAGGTCCACTTAGCACTGGTACTGAGATGCTCAGCCAGCAACAATGCAGCAAAGCTTCTTGCTGTCCGATTGCCAGGAGATTGTTCTACCCTGTGTGCATCTCAGTGCTCTGAGCTGCATTCAGGGAATGTTGCTTACAGAAGTCCAGTTCTGTGCTATGGCTTAGTTCTGGCATGGTGGCAATTACGAAATGCAGCAGGGCCTAAGGGAAAGCAAAAGATCCCAGTCTAAGAGAGGATGTCTGATGCAAAAGAGAGATGCAAAGCAGCATGCAAAATCCAATGCACTGGTGACCGTGGTAAGGCTCCAGGAAGAGAGACCCCAGGACCAAGGAGGCGAAGGGAATAAGGGGTTTGCAAAGACCTGTGAATGGTCTGGGAAATTCCTGCTTGATCTGAATAAAAGCCACTTTTGCCCAAATGCTCAGAAAAAATGTTAATGGACACAGTGCTTATAAATTAGATCAGCAGTTCGCCTCTTCTGACTATAAAGGTTTTAATGTGCTGCTGCAAGAACTTATGCTGTCTTTATGGTACAGTCAGACCTGGTTTAGGGTAAAGGGAAAGGGTAGAATTTTGCTGTCTTGTTAATAGGCCAGTGAGGTATGAAGCTTAACAGCTAGGCTGCAAAAATTATATGCCCGAGGAAATGAAAAAGTCTTTAAAAAGTTTACTGCAGAAATATCTTCT